TCCTTACTTAATACTATAAACAAACTACTAAGTAGTAAACAGGGCTGAATAGTGTTCTAAACATTCTAAGATCTTAGAACACAGAAGTAGCAGATTGGATTGTACAGATTTAGACTTAGATAAAGTGTAAAGAGAAGAATTAAAAGAATCAGAAGAAATAAGAGAACTATCTACTTTTGTTTTCAACTTTTTTCTTTCTAATAAATAATTTTGTTAATTTACTTTTTCTACTTTTTCTGCTTTTCTTACTTTATTTACTTCTAATCCTACAGTGTCTATTGAATCAAAAGTAGCTATTAAAAAATTCAAGTCATAGCTCTTCAGTACTATATTAAGAGGCAAGGTTTTGGTGGGCTTGTTCCCTCTAGTGTCATTGTGGGCTCTGGTCAAAACTCTCCTTCTTCCAAATAGGAAAGAACTAACTACATAAAGAAAGTGATTATGTAATCCAAAGAATTAAATAAAATCAAGAAGATCTGATAGTAACCAAAATCAGAACTCTTCACCTCCCCAAGCTTTAAATAGTGACTGTCCTCAGTCACTTGCTTTGAGAAGCAATAATAAAGGGTAAGCATAAGGAGTGTGGGTAAGGATAAAAGGTATCAATCAAAGTAAGATAAAGAAACAAAGAGTGTGAGTCTCAAGTAAGAATGAGTGTCCATAAAAGAAAGGGGTATAAGGGAATGTTAGAGTAAAGAGAATGTAACCTGTACCAAGGCCAAAGGCTTGCCAGACCAATCCTCTCCAACTCTAACATAGATGGTAGTAGTAGTGAGTAGTGGGTTTCATCCAACAGCTGCTCAGGTCTCAACCTGACACTTCTGGTTCTGATCTGCTAGGTCTGTCAAGGTCAAAATCTGATTACTGTCCTTGAAATCCTTTGTCTCACACTCAGTTAACACAAAGAACAGCCTCCCAATTATCATGTCAAACGTTGTGTCCTTCACTACATGAACTGGCATCACTATTGATATTCCACCTACTAACACCTTGAGTCTTGGAATGACACCTTTGATCACAATTGATCCTGCAATTGCTGGCCTGAGGTTTGTCTGCACTTGCTCCTTTGGTACTCCCAAGTGTTTCCAAACATCTTTGTGCATCACATTCATAACAGCTCCCTGGTCCAGTAAGCTCTCAGTCTCCAATTTGTTGTTCAGCTTTACTGTCACTAGCCTGACTGGTACACTTCTGGCCTTGTTGTTGCTGACTAGGGTGCCAATCCAATGCTCCCTTGCTCAACACTGCTCTGATCTAACAGCTTCTGACGTCCTCCCACATAATCCACTTGTGCTCAGTATTCTTGCTGGGCTTGACTGATTCTCATTGTCTCAGCACTTGATCCTTACAGATGCACTTCCAACCTTGTTCATCTGGCTTGCTACTACCCTTTGCAACAGCCTCTGCTGCTCATCCATCACACTATTCTCCCTTGTCCTTGCTAGTACACTTCCAGCCTTGTTTGCCACACTTGCTCCTCTGCTCCACTCTTGTTCTCGTTCTCTAGCTTGAATCTGACTCAATCCAACATAATCCACTGCTTTCCCATACAATCTGCTCGTTCTCAGCTCTACTGCTGGGCTTGACTGTGCTTTGTTGTCCTTGCATACAATGCTCATACTTGTGTACTGATTCTCTCTACTGTCAGTCCTTGCTTCCTCACTCGTCTCTTCCTCCTCTGCCTTCACAGGTCCACTTCTAGCCTTGTTCAGCATTTTGTCACACATCTGAGTTGTCCTCATAAGCATAGCTGTATACTAGCACTTGAGCTCTGGAGCTATTACAAACAACTTGCAGTGTGTCAACATAACAACACTGTCCATCATCCAGTCTAAGACCTGCTTGATGATCTTGCTCAACTCAGCACTTTGCTTTAGTCTGACTTTGACTGGCTTCACATTAGCCTTCATAGTCCTTGCCTCCTCTCTTTGTCTCTTCACATCCCTCAAGCATTCCTCCAACCTTGTCACCTCTGCATCCAAATCCACTCTAAGAATGGCTTTGTGCTTTTCTCCCTCACTTGCATTCAACCTATCTTTTGCTTCATCAATTGTGCCTACTGTGAACACAGGCTTGTCTTCATAGTATTGGTCTATACACTCCTTCAACATTGCTCCCTCTACACTAGCTGGCATGAATGCCCCACTCATCAACACAATCTTCTGCCCCAACCTTATACACTTCCCCCTCTGAGTGTACTTGCTCACAGTCCTACAGTCACATACGAAATGTCCTTGCTTTCCACAAAAGTTGCAGGTCCTCTTGTGCTTCAGGTCAGATTTCACAGAATTGGCAGATTGGTCAGTTTTGCATGCTTGATTCATCAGCATCTTCCTGGACTTGCTTGCTTTGTTGACCTGGGCTTGCAACTCTTTGAGCTTCCTCACAATCTTTGCATGCTTGTCTCCTACTTCTTTCTCTGGCTTCTCCTTTGGTAATGTCACTGTCTGGTCTCAGCCTGCCTCTGTCTGCCCTGCTAGAAGAATGTGGTCTGCTAGCCTGACTACATTGGCAAATTTGAACAGCTTGCTTGCATCCTTGTCCACATAGAGAATCTCTAGTCATTGTGTCAGGTTTGTCCTCAGTGTCCCTCTGATCCCTCTCCAGAACTCACAGTCTAACTTGTGTGCTAACATCTTCCCTTACTCCTTCAAGTACTCTGCTTGCACCTGGAACTTGTGACAGTAGCAGCCAAACTCTGTCTGCACCATCATTTCCTTCTCACTCTGCACATCAACTAGTTGCATGATATTGGCTCTTGTGTAGCATTGACCATTGATCAGCTCTGGATAGAGCTTTCTGATCTCCTCTTTCACAATGCTCTAATTGCACACTCCTTTCTTCTTCAACTCAGGCACAGTAGCCTACAAACTGTTACAGCTTGTTGCTGCATAGTATGTCACTTGCTTGCACATCCACTCAGCATCCTTCTGGAAGTTGGTGGCTAACATCTCAATGTCTTCAAAGAACTGCAGAAGTTCCTCAAGCTTGCTGCTGTCAAAGTACAGCACTTCTCTTGATCCTCTTCTCAGTGGCCACATTATTGTGCTTCTCATGTATCAAAACGGTCGGTTTGATTCAAAACAAGTGTAGCAAGGCCCTCAAGGCCAAGATCAAGACAAAAACAACCCAGACACTTTAGAACAGAGGCACCACTCCTTACAGTAGGCTCCAAAATGAGAGGCAAGGTTTTGGTGGGCTTGTTCTCTCTAGTGTTGTTATAGGCTCTGGTCAAAACTCTCCTTCTTCCAAATAGGAAAGAACTAACTACATAAAGAAAGTGATTATGTAATCCAAAGAATTAAATAAAATCAAGAAGATCTGATAGTAACCAAAATCAGAACTCTTCAATATTTACTGTTAGGTCTCTACAAAATCCTAGAGTATGTAGTTAGAGTCTAGGAGTTCTAAGGTGACTTCCAGATTTGTAGAAAAGGCTTCTTACTACAAATCCTACTTGTCACTTGTTATTACTCTAATAACCTAACAGATATACTATTACTTCTGTAGACAGTCCTTAATCTAGTACTCTAACTTTCTATAAGTAAAGTATACTCCTTACTTTTAGGCTTCTTTAATGTTTATCAGAACAGATTGATTGTAAATTACAGGCAGATCAATCTGAGGGCTCAGAACTGTTAGAGCTAGACACATGTGTAAGTGTTCTACACAGACTTAACACATTCAAGCTATAGCTTAGTCAAAGAAAATGGTGCACATCTTCTACTTAGTGTAAGTAATTAGTTCTAACATTATTCTAAGAATCTTATTAACTAGTTCTAGGTAAAGAGCTTTTTCAAGTATTCTAATAAGGACATTATTAAACCTAAGTACAAATCCTACCTTCTAGGCCAGGATATCAAACTCCTGAAAGAAGGTATTAGTAGAATGTTTGTCCTGTCATAAAGACACAAGCTTGTTCTACACATTATACTTCTTATTCAAATTAATGAAGAAAGTACAGAGCTGTCTCATAAATTCTGAATATAACTCATTGTTCTAAAGTCAGATCAGACTTCCAATCTGATAGCCTTCAATCCAGTTCTAGGCCTAGGTGGCTGTGTTACCTTCCTTTATAAAGGAGAGGACAAATAGGACATGATTGAGATCTAAGGATAGATTAGTTAAAGTAGTAACTACATATAGTTTAACTTGGTACTAGAAGTCCTTAAAGTGCTACCTATTAAAGTCTGAAAGGTAGACTATATACACTTTCTTTCTAGAGTAGGTTGTAACTTCTAGAACAATCAGAACAGGTTCTAAAGAGGCTAAGAGCACATAGTTGACAAAAGCCTCTTAAATAGAGGTCTACACATATTAAGCTAGGTCTGCTTGTAACTACTGATCTGGCAGGACAGTAGGGGTGGTAGTTAGTGTAGGAGAGTCTATGTTTATACTACAAAGGAATCAGCACTAAACTAAAAGGGGTAATAAATAGAAGAAGGGTGGCAAAAGTTTAAAAGGGTTTAGAGAGTTTAAAATTTAAAAATGTAAAAGGGTCAGGACAAAGAAAAGAGATTGACACAATAGTAAGTACTAATGCTCAAAATGTAAGAGAGTTGTAGGGTAGTAATAGAGAGTCTTGATCTAATGTTAGTAACAGTGTAGAGAGGACCATTGTTAAGAAATGGAAGAGAGGTTATGTGAGAGGCTTAGAGGGATCACACAAAGAGGGGGGATAGTGGACTTGGCTTGCTCTCTTACAGCTTCATCATCTGTTAATTAGTTAGTCTATATATATACTATGTAGGTATGTCTCAAATGTAGAAGGTATGATGGAAGGTATTCCATCATTGTTTGTCATTGCTTGTAGTGTAGTTTATATCATCTGAGACATACTCTTGTGTAGTCTTGTCTTAACACTCCCCTTCAAACTCTTACTAGGTCTAGTAGACTTGTAAGATGTTTGCTTGTAGTATGTATAGATAGTTTAATTATTATAACTGTATTGTACAATTGTTTGTTTGTGTAACACATTTATAACTTGATGTAGTTAATAATAATATTATTAGCATTATAGTAATGTATTGTCCATTCTGTATACTGTCTGTTCTGAATGTTATCCACTTTGTATTAAGTTTGTCTAATGTTATATTGATTAAGTATATTTAACTAGTTTGTTTGTTCATAATATATTGTTCAATAATAGCATCATTATTATAATAGACTGTTTGTAAATGTTATTAAATAATTTGTAAATGCTTTAGAGACCTACAGAATCTTGTTAGCATGTGTAGGTACATATATGTTACAGTTCTCTACTCTTGTACTTTCAGTTCCAAGAGTTCTGCACCCTTCTGTACTGGAACTCAGGACTTTCTGTCTATAGACTATATGTGTGCTGACTCTTACTACTACCCTTCCTTACTTCATTATTCTATTCCTTTGACCACCCCTTTATTCTTTGTTCATTCTATAGTCTCTTACCCTTTGTCTATCCCTTCATTCTTTGTACCTTTATCTTTGACCTTCCTTTCTTTCATTCTTTGTGGCTTATCATTCTTAGTGGCTCATACTCCCTGAGTACTCTTGTATAGTTTAGTATATATAGGTGTACAAGATCAGACTGGTTCTGTAGTCTTAATCTTGTCTACTCCAGATAGTCCTGTACTCTTAGACTTACTCTATATACTCTACTCTTGTCTCACTCTCTCTCTCTGCCTGTTCTGCAAGTTCTGACTATGTTCTAGTACTTACATTCTGTATTTCTGTTGTGTAGGATAGTTGTAGTCTAGGTCCTCTTACTAAGCCTTCATTCTTCTTCCAGAAACATTATGCTTACTTTATTTTTGATCAAACGAGTGTGTAGTGAGAACAAGTTTTCCATTTCCGGTCAATAAAATGGGCCGTGTCGCGTATGCGCCTGGATCACGTGTATTGATCACTCTCGCACTGAGTCAAATGACTCAGATTATGACTGGTAAGCAGGTTGACTGCCAACCATGGAGAACACTACCCCAGTAATATCAATTGACCTGGTTTGTATGATTAACACACACGCATGGATATTCTAACTTAACTGGACTAGATATTGGATCGACTATCAACGAAAGATGCTTTAAAAGCGTTATTACATTCAATCTTGTTCCATCGGCTCTTTGGGACGATCAAACCGCAGACTATCGAGGTCCTTGATGTTACGATGGTAAGCTGGCATTGCTTTTCTCTGAAAAGTTGAACAACAGACTGACATGAACTATACTGGATATGAACGATAGCCAGGGGTGAAAGATATGCAGACAGAGATGCTCATCGACGAGAAAGTCGATGCCTTTTGGAAGGGTGTCGAGAGTGGGGCGAACAAGAGTGGACGAGTATGTCTCTCCCCTATAATGTATCTTTTTTGCAGTAATGCTAAGATGGGCGTAGATTACAGTGACATTTTCGGAGAAGCGGCAGAAGAAGAATTGGTTCTCTGTCGGAGAGGTGTATATGTTTTTCCTGAGTTGCACATGCCTTCGGAAGCTAATCTTTGTTGGATGAATAGGAGGAAGTCCCTTGGGAGAAATGGTAAAATTTAATTCACTATATGCAGTATTCAAATTCGAGGGCTTATCTGTGCATATATAGGGTGATCAACGCAGAAGTGCGAAATCCGAAGGCAGAACGTGGTGGGTACATGCACGCTTGCGTTCACTTCGTCATCTCTACGCGCCACAATTCTATTTTAAATGAATCCAATATATTATTCGAATGAACAGATCGACAAACGTTTAACACGACTTTATCAACATCCCTCTCCGATGCGTTGTTTACTATCCTTACGTATACTGCATCTGAGCGCGGACGCACAGCTGTCCCTCCTATTACGAATTCCTCTGGGATCACGCCGTTCCCATTTAAGATTAGCGTATGGGTTGCGGGAAATGAAGTTAGATGAAGCTAGCTGGTGAGGTTGTTGCTTTCTAATTTCCTACAGGATGCATTTTTTGTAACTGTGAGAGACGGCTCACTCAAAGCGAATGACTTAGCAGATGTGTATCATAATAATACACTTTGTATTGTGCTCAAGTGCACATTGTAGTCTCTGACTTGCCAATTTGTACAGCTCGAGTATTCAATGAGTAATAAATTGTTAATAGGGTTAAAAAAACTCTAGCATTCACTTTGCATTGGCACTGGCATTAAGTGCCACATCCTGTGTGGCATTAGCATCTATAGTGCCACATTGTCTTCTCAGTGCCACATCCTTGTCGTGGCACATTCGCCACAAATTAAGGTGGCAAATTTTACATTGCAAAGTAGACACTTTATAATGGATGACCGGAGTCAGGAAAAAAACGATATTTCTACCTGTAAAACCATGTCCAAGAAACAAAGCACCGGAAATACACCAAGCAGGAAAGACAGCCAAAATGGATCTGATGCAAGAAAGAACATCGATACACTTAATAGAAAACTAAAACCTATTGTTACTGAACTTCAAAGACGTACAAAAAAAATAAGCACCGATATTGATGAGCTTATCCAATACCTGGACAACAAGAACAAAGACGTTGGTCAATATCTTGAATCCGCAGAGGCAATTAAAGTGGGTGAAGTAGATGAAACCGCTAGACAAAATCTGGTTGCAGCTCTTCGGGCAATCAAAGACTTGCATGGCGGGCCAACACTAGGCCAAGCAAGTACATATGTCAACAATTCCTTAGAGGGATGGGATATGTGGCTAGGCAATAAATAGTAAAAAAATGATGATTAATTGTCCTGTACATTCATACTTGATGGCTTATGGATTACTAGTACCTATACAAAGAAGAATAGATATTAAAAATTTTCTGACATTTGTGACACACAGTGATAAGAGATTTATACAGTGTTGTTTCACTTTATCGTATATAGCCATCCTGCATACAGAGAAGAGCAATCTGCATCATAGTTTTCTTGCCAGCAAGAGTACTGTTACTTTTTAATCATTCTAACGCCCAGAGTCACCCTGATCCTTCATATAACGAGTCTGTACGAAAATACATGTATGTAAACGAAGAACTGAAGGTCACCCTAACGTCACAATGAATGAATCTTTGCAAAATTTGGGAAGTACGCTGTTTATCTGGATTTTGCCTTCGACCTATCTGGAAGTATCCCGACACCAAAGGACAGACTACGAGCATCTCATCCTAGCGTCTTCTAGTTTCAGCCTTGACCTCTTCGTCTGTGGGGCATTGGCCAAGTGCATACCAGGCTACCATTTGCATATCGAGAATGATAGTAAGCACGCAACTTGATAGATTCGATCATTACAGGAGAAAAAATAATGGTATACTTTTTATTAACTTACCCAAACATGCCGAACTGCTTTCCGTGCCGTCCATTGTTCTGCAGGAACGTCCCGAGAGTGAGGCCAGTCGAATTGGTCGTGCAGACTCTGCTGTTCTTCCCTGTCGTAGGTCCATCCAACGCTGCACACTGGCCAAACATGAATTGTGGGATAGGATGTCTCGCAGCTGTTGAAGCAACAGTAATCTCATCTAGAGCTGTGATCAAGGGCACTGCAAGACTGTATCGGAGAAGGAATGCATGCATCAGTTTAATGAATGTAGTAAGGAAATGAGGGCAACTTACGAAGGATGTTTTCCAGAATTGTTATTCATTAAACGACATTTAAAATATCGCCATCATTAAGAACGTGGTTCCAAGGTCCGTACACTGATGCAACGTTTACTGGCCCAGATTCGAGGACATTTTTCGTGCGAGCTGCATTGAACACGGATGGTACAATGGTACAACAGGGTTGTTATAAGTGATATCTGTTAAACATTTCTCGGTTGGTGCCAACGGTCATCAGTAGAATGAAACTAGCGGAACAGTACGGATTGATCCACTGTATTGAAGAACGACCTGAATGGGCTCAAGTGCAGTGTCGTTCGTGTCGCCATACGCATCAATAGTTTGTGGCTCGTTGAGTGTGAATGATTGACAATAGATGACTTGCGCAGCGGTATCTGCAAGAGCATTAGTAAGACGAAAGTTTGCTATTTGCAGAAGAACATACTGGGATTAAAATCAGCATCTGGAACGGTGTCAAACAAGTCTGTGTCCATGTTTGCATGGATTGCCCAATTTGCAGTGAGTCATTCAAGCCGGCGACAAGTATAGAATGGTGTCGAGCGACAATGAGAGAAAGTGGGTCGACAGGCATCTCATGCGTGTTGATCTGCAAATGATGCACATCTCAATGAACGCATAAGATAAATGTGAACAAGAAGAAAACGTACAATGTAAACCCCAATAATGTGCATTTGATGACCTTCATTCTAGAGGGTTCATGAAGCAAATTATATATTCCACAACAATGTTCATCGAAAACACGTCTACAAAGTAAACTAAGTACATACAATGAATTGCTATTATACAAAATGTGTCCGAAGAATCATCATAAGTGCAGAGAAAGTCTCAGAATTAGATGTATAAGGGGCGCTTGTACGTTCATACTCTCAACAAATGACACAGTCAGAGTCATTATACGACTCTGGAGGTGAAATGCTTAGTCGGGCTTCGAGTATTGCATGCAGTGTTCCATCTGGAGTTATGAATGGACATCCACTATACGCAACAGAAACTCAGTCAGCTCTCATTAAATCATGTAAGTGTAAAGAAGATAAGACGTACTCATACATCAACTCTCCACCTTTAGACCAACCTGTAGTACTCTCCTTGTTTTTATTCTTCTTCGCATCGCAAGGAACCTCTTCCAACCCAGCAACAAGCACAGTCTCAGCAACCCTTGCACGTTCTTTCTTCTCCTTCCTTGTCTCCTTTCCACACTCTGCACGACGTTCTTTCTTAACCGCCTTACGTGCTGCGCGTTTTTCTTCTCGACTTGGACGCTTTTTCTTCTTTGGGTCGATGGAGAGGTCGACTTCGTCTGGGAGTGGTTCGGATGAGGCAAGTTGGGCAAAGTAGGAGGAAGAGAGAGGAGGGAGAGCGAGGAGTGGAGAGGAGCCGACTGAGGAGAGGGAGATCATTATTGGTGGTCTTGGTTGGTGGGATTTGGGTTGGACGTTGTCACTTCCGGAGCGTCTGTTGAAGAGAGAGGAGAATATTGAAGACCTCTGTTGTTGAGGCTCGGAGCTTTGTCTTGGGTGTTGTGGTCGAGGTCGTTGTAGAACTGTATTTGAAGTGTCTGAAACAGTTTGAGAACGTCCTGGGGCTGGAGGTAAGTCCCGCCAGACGTCAGGTGAATTGGAAGATGGTTCGTTGACGAGTAGACGGGCTTCTGCGTAGCATTGTGCACTTCCTTCGAGAAGTGCGAGACAGAGTGCCCATGAACCTGGTGGTACGGAAAGTGCACGGGCTGCGTCGATCGCTGCTCGAGGTACATTACTTGGTGTTGAAGGTGGAGAATATGGGTTGGTTTTAGGAGGTGAATCCTTGGATGGAAGAGGAGGTACAACGAAGAAAATTAGTTGCCAAAGGCGTCCTGATTCGCAAATGTTAATGACAAATGATAAAAATATTTTTATCTGTGGGACATACCTCGTGCTATGAACTCAACTGAAACGTTCCCGGAAACACGCATCCTGCGCTGAAAGATCTTTAGTCTGAGGTCTACGCCAAACCACTCTGCATCGGAACCTTTGCCGCCCTCACGGACTTCTGCAATGTCTCCAAACACGAGTGGGGCGTCCTTTCCACCTTTCTTTTCAGACTTCTTTCCTGGGCTGGACGGTCCTACATGACTTGGCGACGATGTGTTGGAATTGGCAAGTAGCATCCGGTCTGTGCCTGAGATTGTGGTTACACTGTGTGCAGAGCGTAACCGATGGAAGAGGGCATTGCTTGATGCAACAAGACACCCAGCACGTAGCTCTGATACAGCAATCGGTCTGAGAGGAGACGCTCGGGTAAGGAGTGAAACGAGGAATGCATCATCTTCTCGGTGGTCTCCCTTTCTCGGGCCTTCATTACTTATTGGACGCGATACAATGGCCCAGTATATAGGTGCATGTCCTTCAATACTCTTCTCTTGCAGAATGCGTGCGAGGGAGAGTTGATGCGATGCACAAGCAGCTGCACAGCTATCGAGGACGGCAATTGCGTCCAAGGCGCTGGAACGCACGGATGAGGAGCCTTGTACAACATCACGGATGAGCCCGCAGATTGTTTCGCGTACATCAGCCTGAGCCTTTGGAGTCAAGGGACCTGGCTTGAGCTTATCGCGTCTTGCAGGTGGTGGTAGTCCGACTGAGAGAGACTTGTCTGGTAGAAAAGGCCCTGGAAGTGTAGAGGGCGATGTAGTATTGCTTATGCCTTGAGGTCCAGTCGGGTGTGCTGAACGAAGAGTGCGTGGGCGAAGAAGAGAAGTGTTCCGCGGAGGAGGAGGTGGAGGTGGAGGGCCGGAGAGGATGACTTGACTGGAGCTGGCAGGACCAATGTCATCGTATGCTGGCGGTGCATCGGTAGGTAGCTCAAACGGGTAATGTACGGGAGGTTTTGCGTCAACTATCATCCTGCTGCCGAGTGAGAGTGAAGAGATGGAGGATGAGAGTAAGTAGGAAAGACAGAGAATAAGAGGCACATATTATTGCCGGAGATGTATGCGCTGCGCAGTGCGTACAGTGACATTTGAATAGCAGGCAGTGTTAATAGTCGCGGGAAAGCCGTACCTTACAGGGCAATGCTGCACCTTAAATTGTGCTCAGCGCTCGGTTGCTTGGCTGCGGTCACATCCCGCAGTCTATCCATCACTCAATCCACATGTGCACTCTGTTCTATTTCCTGTGCAAATATCAGCATAATGTATACTCGCAGCACCTTCTCAGTTTCTCAATATCTTTTGACATTGGCTGTATAATCAATTATGACTGTACTATTAGCTAACTTCTTTTGTACAATACTGTGTATTCTTCTAACTGCTTATTACATTAACTGCCTAAATCCTTCATTTATGAATTATGTAGGTATTTGTATCCTTTTTATATATATGAGTGTTTAAAAGCACAAGACAAATTTTATAACTTATTCTATGTCTAGCTTGTTAAGAGAACTTATTATTACTTTAAAATAATTTTATCTCTGAGATAATACCAACTATACTAATAACTATACAACAATTGTCTGTAACTACTCAATAGCTATCTGTTAGTAGTATAAGGTTAGTTTTGCTGTCAGAGGCATTAAATTGTTAAGCATTGAACCAAGCACGTTGAAAAATCATCTCTACTACAATTGTCTAGGTACACATCATGATGCAAGCGTTTCACATTATGCATGCTAGGTTCTATCACGAGTGCAATTCGTGCTGAACGTTCGTACAGTGATGTAGTGTCAAAGCGATGGGCTGTGAGCTGTAAGGTGGTGTTGTTCGGGGATCGCGGGAGTGGCGGACATGAGATGGCGGGTGCTAGTCCATTCCTGGCTACAGACGGAGCCTGTGCCTGAGCTGTGATGCGCAGGAGCTAAAAAAAGACACGTGTGGGGCGGGAAGGCGGGCCGTAGTGGGAAGACTTATCAGGATCTCGGAGCCGGAGTATTTTGGATAGGCTTCGGACTGTCGGACTGTCGGATTGCAAGCAGCTATGCGTATGTACTATGTAGAATTCACGCTGGATGACATTGACGTTGGCATGAGCGACGGTGAACGACGATTCGGGGCAGGGGCGTGTTTGATGAAGTGCATATGGATGTGGTGGCGGGCCGGGCGATGTACGCGTGTCCATCAGCGCAGTTAGTTAGCGCCAGTGTGCGGGTGGCACTGACACAAAAACCCACGCGACGGCCATCGATCCTGTCCTATCTTGGGCTTCCTCCACTCTCTGCCACGTTCTTGTGCTTTTTGCGGTTGCGCTTGTTGTGAAGCGGCAGTCGTTGCGGATGGGCCATGGCGGGTAACCGGGTAGTAGTCATGCAGTATCTAAGCACGGTAGACAATAAATAAAAATACTACAGTACAAAGCGCGCACGTCGTGCCGAGCGGAGGGAGCGCCAACTACATACACGAGGCGAGGCTGCTTGGGAGAAGTGAGCCGAGAATAAGCTCAGACCGCGCAGATGCGGTGATATCCACTACACGGTCCTTCATGGGCTCCGGCCGCGTCTCTTTTCGAGCGCGCGGGCCAAGTGATGGAGGAAAGTGAATTGTCGTCATCTAGCTTACGGGTGCTGTGCGAAGTGGCATGTGAGTGACAAGAACACAAGCACAACAGCACGATGTGGGCGAGAGCGACGGAGGATGATGATGGGCTACATGACCGGCGCGCGCTTCGGCTCGGTTCGCACACACCCCTTATACTTATATCTCGTCCTGCTCTCTCCCCGATCCCCCCGCTCTTTCCCTCCCTCTCATAGCGTCCTCCTCCTCTGTCTGCTTGTCTGTCGTGCATGTCTGCCCCCGCCGTACCGCAGTCTCATGTCCTCATTCTTGCGCCAAATATAACTTCTACCGTGCGCTCTACGGCAAGTCCGCCTCGCCCGCCATCCGTCAAGACAACAGCTTCCACAAGTCCTCCATCCCATGACAAGCTTGCCTCAGCCCCACTTGCCGAGTCAAAGTCTACAAGCAACGACGACTGCTCCATGGCTTCGCCTCCACCGCATCCCAAATTGCCCGAAGTCCCGCCGCGCTCCTCCACTTCTGCATTCTCGCCTCCCAGCGATGCATCTTCATCCACCATGGCCTCTCAAGCACCCGCACAGCTTGCTCTCATGCTCTCTAATGCCCTTGCGGATGTAGATGCTCTCAAGCGTGCTCTGACCGAAGAGAAGAAACGCTCTACACGCGCTGAACGTTTGCTCTCGTCCTTCCACCCGAATGCAAGTACCGAAGCCGGAATCTCGGACGAACAGAAAAGCGAACAGATGTCCGAGGGTGCTCTCAAGGCTGTTCTAGATGCTGAAGCTCGTGCTGAACGTGCTGAGCGGTGCGTTGCATGCTTATTTTCTTAATTTTCACGTCAGTACTAACTAGTATGTATGCATGCTGTAGAGCGCGCGACGACGCTCTTCACGCGCTCCATTCCCTTACTGCGCACTTTGCCGATTTCGAGCGATACGAGCAATCCATCTCGCTCCGTGCTGCAGACGCACGTACCGCCTTTTCTCGCCTCCTGTCCGGCATCACTGCGTCTCATCCGCCGCCTTCATCATCCCCAACACTCTCGGGAGGTGGCTCAGGTTCTCCTGCTACCCTGAACCTTCCTGGGCTTCCGGCTCCGTTACCAGCTCCATCAGCAAGCACATCACAGGCTTCTCAATATCTGACCGGGCCCGGTGCGCCGCCGCCGCTGCCTCCTTTCCCTCCTTCCGCTTCATTGCTGTCAACACGCCATTCGCGCGGTCTATCATCGCACGCCGCTCCGTCATTCGGCTATCCGTCGTCCCACGGAGCAAGCCACACCCGACAGGGCTCTCATTCCAGTGCAACTTTTAGCAGCCTTCCGCTTCCACCGCCTCCATCCGCCACTGGTCTCGGTGCTGGACACGTTGGCCCTTCTGCTCCACCGCCATCCTCTTCGTCATCGTTTTCCATCCCCGCAAAGCGTATCCATAGGAATCGAAGCGCTCGTGGACTAGACGACGGTGCAGGAAATGAGTGGGAAGAATCGAAACGCCGCCGAGTCGGGCCTTGGGACATGGATATCGATGAACATCCAAATCATGGTGATCAGCCACTTCCTTATCCTCAACATCAACCATCTCTTTCTGCACAGCCTACTCAGCGTTTGTACGAACGCGATCGTGTACAACATCAGCAGAGTTACGCTAGAAATGGGTCTGGTTATCCTTCTCGATACGACGAGCGCGAACCGAATGGAATTCCTCCTGTAAATGGGAATGGCTTGGTCCGTGTTGATGCACGCGAACTTGTGCGCGATGCCAAGGAACGTGAGCGTATGGGAAGGGGTGCGCATTATCGTGCGAGAGATGGAGAGAGGAAGAGGAGACGGAGTGCGAGTAAAAGCTCGGCAGGAAGTAGCTGGAGTATTGACGAGATGCTACTTGAGACAGCAACAGACGGGGATCGCGAGAGGCGCGAAGATGGTGAGTCTGTGTATTCAATGGCCATGTTGTTGTATTGATTGCTCCGTAGGCCGCCCCTTGGATCCTCGTCAGGAAGCACAACTTGGCCAGTATCAGTCGCACGTGTACAACTCGTCCATTGCTGGCCCTCCACCGCCGTCCTCTTCGCATCTTCCTCAGGATAATCTATACGTTGAACAACCTTCAAAGAAACCTACCTCGCACTCAAGCCAAGCATCAAATGTACCTGCTAGTGAGAACAGTCCTGCAGAACGTGAGAGACCTGGCAAGGTCCCTGCAAGTCAGCTCGTGACCCTTGGTCCCGGTGGTGTTGTCGTCAGCGGGGGTATGCATTTTATGTATTCAATTGCATGTTCTTATCTGAGTGCACTGTTCGCCCAGGTGGTCAAGCAGCCCCGATTCCTCCGGGTGGATTCCCAGCTCAGAATACTAGCGGTCAACGCATCTGTCGTCAGTGCGGTGTGCCTGGACGGTACAAGGACGGCAAATGTGTTGAAAAATGGGGTCCAGGCCCTGAGGGTCCCGGGACCGTTTGCGATCGGTTTGTCTCTTTGCTAAACGGCTTGAATTCATATTCACTATGTAAGCTTTACAGCTGTCGGAAGAAAATGAAGCGCGTTGAACGTCGTGGAACGCTGGATAGTGCCACGGCGAATGCACAGCAACAGGCGTTCCTCGCCCAGCGTCAAGCACAAGGGAGGAGCAATCTGCAATCACAACCTACTTTACCTACTCCTTCGTCCCAATCTCGTAGTCGTGGCACATTGCGTACAGATACGCTTCTCGTTGACCAGAATGGTCATATGCGACCAAACGAACAGACGCAGTCAACTATGCTAAGTGTGAGCCCACGATCTACACAACAACATGCGTATTCGAGGGAGAGGGAAAGGAGTAGGGATGGTTCGAGTCGATCACGAACGCGTTCGCCTGCACCGTCGTACCGGCATACCGCATCTGTGTCGGATACTCGTCATAGCCAGGCATCAACACAATACTCGCAGAGCCAGAGTCAAAGTCAAAGTCAATCTCAAGGTCACAGGCGTGCACCAACACCTCCTTACATTAACTCAATATCAACGTACAACGATGATGATGGCGATGGGGAGGAGGATAGTGAAGGACGTGGACGAGATGCAGATGCAGATTTGGATGTCGATGCAGAGATTGCTCGCGCTGCTTCGACGAGTAAGGGCTCGAAATCGCGAAATGCTCCACCGTATTTATCTCCAAACGCGCCTCGCGTTGGGCCAAATGGAACTGCCTACCCCCATGCACTACCACCGCCTCGTAGCAGGGCATCGTCGACGTCGACATCTGCTACGTACGAGAAACATAACGGGTCGCGAAGGTCATCTCGGCCTCCTACGAGTAACTCGAAACGCATGCCATTGCCAAGTGTTGAGACGCTTCCACGATCAGCTGTTCGACGTCGGGATACGCAGGATGAACTGGACGAAGACGAAGGAGATGGAGATGCTGACGCTGATGCCGATGCGGATGGTTCCGGAGAGGGCGATGCAGACGCTGATGCAGAGATTATGGACGCTGTTGACGCAGCGATGAAAGTTGAGGAATAATCTTTTGTTCTGAGGTCCCTTCGTTGCTTTTTGTTGGACCTGCTTTTTCATGCTTAGCAGACGTAGAATTGTTGTCTACTTTACCCCAATCCAAAGGCATTCACGTAACTGCATTTATTTGTAATGCTTGCACTCTTTTTGCTTGTATCAGTGCAAATGCAATACTTTTTATGTACTGTATTCTTGCAAATAAGGGAAAGTTTCATTATCATTTTTGTGTGTTCTATAATCTGATAAATATCTTTGAGCAAGGTAAGCGTAATATACAATCATACAATCATTGATAGAGTATTACATGTCTATTGTTTGTGATATTTTAATGCTTGTGCTATTTTTTGCTTGCCTCAATAACAGCTGCAATTGATGTGCAATCTATGATAGCAGGGCTCAGTCGATAGGATAATTTGAATATCACGGAGGGATGATTTTGCGGTCTTACAAAGAATGTGCCAGATGGCCACCGCGAGGATCAAAGCCAAATGCCGGATACGGAGGATCGACCTTCTTGATGTCTATTCAAGTCACGGCTTTGTAATGAACACGGACGTACTGTCTACCCCCAGCATTCTTCCTTCCCTAAAATTATACTGATCGGTGCCGCGTGTCGGTGATACTAACAACGAGATGATGGTGCGTGAGAGGACGGGGACTGGATGAAGCGACGAAGCAACGACAGCGAAGGTCGGATGACTTTGATGCATATGCTTGTTCGAGTCTGTGGATGGCTTCGTGCTGCTTCGCTGTCGGCTTGCGGTGGGTGAAGGAATGGGATAAAATTAGGCACACTGCTAAGGGTCTGGATGTATCTGATTAGATTCGATCCAATCGGCTCGGGTCCTCTCTCCTTTCTGTTTAGTTTTAGAGCCGAAGTGACCCCGATGGTCAATAACGTACATCCTACGTGCGTCTCGGGTCCTGGGATTTGGAAATGAGAAGGTTAGTCCGCGTTGTCACTTATCTGATATGTGTGTTTATAATAACTACTCCCTGCATGTGCTCTCTTAAACCTTCTTCTCTAGACGCCTCCCTGTCTCCGTCTTGTCCTCACCTCCTGTGTAGCAGTCTAGTAGAGCAAGCTAGTGACCATGGCTGGCTCACTGTTCTCCGTTCCGATATTCTTCATTGTCTTTCGAGAGACCCTTGAGGCTGTTATTATCATCTCTGTCCTCCTTGGTCTTGTCGAGCAGATTGCTCGTCCCTCTGCAAATGGCCCGGGACTCTTTGTGTCTGATTGGAGACATCCGAACCATCCACAGCATGCAGCCTACCTCAAGGATCGTGCTGACAAGGCCATTGCCAGAGAAAAACAGCGCGAGGAAAATGGTTCTAACGGGCTGCCGGAATTGAGAAGAAATAACAGCGAAGAGACGGGTGGAGAGGAGAGTGAGGCAGATACGAAGCGGCTTATCCATAAGCTTCGCGTGCAGGTTGGTCTTCCCTTTTCCTAGCCAAAGGATTTGATTCTGACGTTTTTTCTCTCAGATTTTCCTCGGTAGTGCGCTTGGTCTCCTTATTGCGCTCGGCATTGGTGCAGGTACAATAAAATTTTCGCGCTTGCTAGCTCTCTCTTATCTGACTTAGTTATCTATCTTAGCTTTTATTGCCGTTTTCTTCACTCAGGCGTCCGATCTGTGGCAAAAGACCGAAGAGCTTTGGGAGGGAATTTTCTCTCTCATTGCCTCCCTCATTATCCTTGCAATGGGACTCACGATGCTCAAACTTGACCGTGCGCGCACGAAGTGGCGCGTCAAGCTCCAGCGGGCATTTGAGAAAGCAGCAAAGGACAAAGAGGGCCGTGCAGGTCGCTTTGTGCTATTCGTCCTTCCGTTCATTACAGTTCTTCGTGAGGGGCTTGAAGCTGTTGTCTTTGTCGGTGGGGTCTCTCTTGGACAATCTGCGCGCTCTATCCCTATTGCTGCGATTGTCGGCCTTATTTGCGGACTGATTTGCGGGTTCCTTATCTATGCGTTTGCAAGTCGTGCGACGTTGGCGACTTTCCTCATTGTCATGACGAACTTTATCCTCCTCATCGGTGCCGGGCTGTTTTCCAAGGCAGTGGGTGACTTCCAGGTGAGAAAGTTGCATTCAGTGAAGATATACTTGGAATGAATCAATGATGCTAACTGTCAGTGATCATTCACTTAGGTCAATGCATTCAACCGGCTTCTCGGTGTAGACATCGACGATGCGGGAGGCGACGGACCGGGAAGCTACGACGTCCGTGGCGTTGTTTGGCATCTGGACTGCTGTAACCCCGAGAACAACTTCGACAGTCAAGGTTGGAACATCTTTGCCGCGCTTTTCGGCTGGACGAATACTGCAACCGGTACGTATAATTCACATCCCTCATAACGTTTGTTCTTTAACCTCATTTTCATACAGTTGGTACTGTGCTCGCATACGTGTTCTATTGGCTCCTCGCGATGGCTCTGCTCGTCTACATGAAATTCTCCGAAGGCCGAATCAAGGTATTCGGCTTTGAGAGCGCTGCATATCGCCGTCGCTATGCTGCCAAGGCCGACGTGGCCGCTGCTAGAGATACGAGGGAGAAAGAGGGCCAACACACGCCAAGCAGCGAGGATGCGCCGGCCATTTCTGAGCTGCCACGTTAAGTCCGGGGGCGGTGAATGGTGGTAACGACATAACAAATTTTGATGACAGAGTAACAAAGAGTGTCCAGATGACTTTGAAGTTTCGTTTTCTTCATTCTCCCATTCTACGCTTCCTTCCATTCATGCTTTCCGATTCCGAGTGATTCCTGTTATCTCGTGTGTAGTTTGTATCGGGTTTCGGCTTCAAAAGTGGTGTGATAAGATATGCAATGCGACAAGGTCCGACGCAACGAATGAAAAAAGGCACACCGAACCAGGGACTACGAACAGATGCCAGTTATTGGATCGAGTTAAAGGGCTAGAATGAAAAGAGACGGAGTGCCTATTCGATGTATCTAAGAATACATGTCAAATTTTAGGTTTCGGGGGGCCACGAGATACAGTGTTATCAGATATGGATCTTCGCTAGTTATACGGGGCTAATACTTATCAGATTGAGATGTGCTTACCGTGTGGTCTGTCCCGTCTTCCTACAACTTCTCCCGGAACGATTCCAGTGTACCGGGCCCTAAGCATTCATCCATTCAAATTATTGCCGCGCGCGCCATTTATCTTACCTAGACTGCTTCGAGACTGTCACGATGAGGATCTATTTTTGCAGGGAGGTCGGCACCTGGGCTATCAGATAAACACCACCACTTCTCTCTGACCCCGCAAGTCCCTTTAGGGCCCCCCTCCCTTCATCAATTCTCCTTCGTTCCCCCTCTCGTTTCTTTCACTCGGTGGCTGGGTACTGGGAGTACAGACAATGTTTTCTCTCGCTGGAACTGTGCTTGCACTCTCGCTCGCTGCTCTCTCCAGCCTTCCTGTCGCTCAGGCAGGCATCACTGAGCTCTGGTGGAACATCACCTATGGTACGAGTGTGTTTTCTTTTCCTCTACTGCCGACGTATCTGAATTTCCCTTATTTAATCTTAGTCGAGGATGTCAACCCCGATGGTCTCTTCCCGCGTCGCGCAATAGGCGTCAATAACTCTTGGCCGTGAGTCACTTCAGCGAGAGCAAACGCGTTTTCTTGGCTTTGGGCTTGTCTTCTCCATGCTGATCCTTGGCTCCTCTGCAGACCGCCACCGATCGACGTTAGCGCAAACGACACCCTTATCTTACATGCGCTCAACTCGCTTACGGAACCGACTACTCTGCATCATCATGGGATGTTCTTTAATAATGCAAGTTGGTACGATGGTGCCGTCGGTGTTAGTCAATGGTCGGTTTTTATTCACTTTCGTTTCTCCGTCCTTGAGCTTTGCATTTTTTTTGATCGAGTCTGACGTGATGACTCATGTAGTGGGATTCCTCCCGGCGATTCGTTTACATACGTTGTGCCGATCAATGAGTCTGGGCAATGGGGAACTTATTGGGTCCATGCTCATGATAATGTAAGCTCACAATCTCCCTTTTGGTGCACATCACTCCTCGTACTAACATTCATATCAGGGACATTATGTCGACGGTCTGCGTGCTCCCGTCGTGATTCACCCACAGCAGGAAGTGCACACCTACGATGAAGAATTCACTATCGTTGTCGGCGATTGGTACCATGACGAACACGGGGTCCTCTTGAACGAATTCATCAGCATTGCAAATCCTGGAGGCGCAGAACCGGTTCCGAGTCCGTACTCCTTCTCTCTTCAAATAGATCGTACAACTGACAATTTATGGGTGTTTTGAACAGAGGCACCGCTTATATACTTCGCGCAGAATGGTACATACATGAATGGCTTCAATGGCAATGCGAGCCTTCCGTTCCAACCTGGGAAGACGTATCGTCTGCGAATCGTCAATACGTCCGCTTTTGCAATGTTTTTCTTCTGGGTTGAAGGTCATCAGATGCGTATTATCGAGGTCGACGGCGTATGTATTCTCTTTTGTTTTCATAGTGTACTGCGTTGATTGAGATGTGCAAAATTTGTAGACCGACACTCAGGAGATGCCTGTTGACTTACTTTCGCTTACTGTTGCTCAACGTTATTCCGTACTGGTCACCGCTTTGAATGACTCAACTGCGAACTGGGCGATTCATGCGAATATGGACACGGATATGTTTGACACCGTCCCAGATGATCTTAATCCCAGTATGTTCTTCTGCAAATGGCCGCCTTCTTCTCACTTACACTCTCGTAGATGCTACTGCACAAGTTATCTATTCTCAATCGTTCACACTCAACGAGCCGCAAACGATCGACGCGTACGGTGATACGAACGATACCGCACTGGTACCCGTTCAGGTCGTTCCTCAATACAGTGGTTCAGTTCGAACTGTCCCGCTAGTGGTTTCATTCGACACAATGACCGACGGCACTAACCGAGCAATGTTTAATAACATCACTTATAACACTCCCGTTGTGCCTTCGGTCTTCAGTGCAGTCAGCATGGACAGTGTCGCTGGACCTGGAGCAGCGGACGTCGCATCGGCGTATGGACCTTGGAACTACGTTCTCGATGATGGCGATGTTGTGGATATCCTTCTAATGAACAGTGACGCCGGCAAACATCCTTTGTAAGAATCTGACTTTCGTTCGTCATAATTATTCGCGTTGACTCAAACATTTCCTGTACAGCCATCTTCACGGACACCAATTCCAAATCGTCAACCGCGCAACGGACTACACATCCGACGATCCGTCACTCAACCCACCTCTTGTCGAAGGTCAACCCAACCCAGTGCGTCGCGACACCGTACAAGTCGAGTCTGGTGCGAGCGTCACCCTTCGTTTCCAAGCAACAAACCCTGGGGCATGGATGTTCCACTGCCATATCGAGTGGCATCTTCAGGCCGGTCTTGCAGTCACCTTCATCACAGCTCCAGAGGAGATGGCTGCTGCTTCAACAGCAGGGAGACACCCTATTCCACAATTCATGTTCGACCAGTGTGCAGCGTTGAACGAACCTACGACGGGGAATGCGGCAGGGAAGAACAGCACGACTGACTTGACTGGCCTCACTCTTGGACCGTTCCTGCAGAACAATGGATGGCACGGAAAGGGGATCGGTGCAATGTTTGGGTAAGCCAACAGTTATTACCATTATTTGTCTCCAAGTACTGATCAAATAAATAAAAAATCAAGTTGCGTGCTTACTGCCTTCCTCGGTATGCTAATGGTAAGCTGGTATGCACTTGGCGAACGCCTCTCAGACGAGGAGGTCGAGGCCGAAACGAGAAGACATCAGGATGAGAAGGAAGCTCGTGGTCGGTTCTTCGGTGTCGGGAAACTTCTGGACAGATCGAAAGCAAAATCCGGATAGCTAGCGTGCTTCCGAAACTTTGAAAAGTTTCATTTACTCCGACATTAAGATGACCTTCAGTTTTTTTTTGTTTACATATGTGTATTTTCAAACATACTCATTATGTGAAGAATGCGAGTGATGATAGTGCGAAATGTCATTTCAATTTCAAGTTCCTGTTTTTACTACTGTAGAAAAGATCAACCCAGAATTGAATATATGTGGGCAGCTTCTTAATATTCAACCTATTTTTATAGTTGCTGATGTCCGGTCCCGGACCCAGCGGACTCGGTCCGGACGCAGGACTGGACCTGAGGACCGGTCCTCTACAGTCCAGTCCTCATGGGTCCAAGGGGGGTGCGGTCCTGCGTCCATCAAATTGAGAACTTTCCCAGACTGATGGACCAGTCCGGACTCGGACTGGACTCTGGACTTGAATGTTTTGTGTGATTGTTTGTAGCACAGAATTATTTGTAGTACATATTCTGAAATCCATTTTACTTTTCAGTCTCTTTGATTACAACTTTGATTTCCTTCTTGTCTGACGTTTCTCTAGTGCTGGGAGCAGTATTGCAAACTTGCAAACCTTTGACAGAGAAGCTATTACATAAGCTATGCCTGGACAATTAGGCGTGGTCAAACCTCGCGATTCAGTGCACGATTCACCTGTGCGATTCACTTTCATACAAAGTGAATTGCAGACCCCAGAACCCTAGCGATTTGGGGTGAATTGTACTGAAAGGTGAATTGCACTTTGACACGATTCGCCTTGCGATTCACCCCTGCAATTCACCTCTACTCATATCTATTTCCAAATATGTACATGTATTACAAAAGTAAAACTAAGCTTCTTTTCACCTCTAAATTCCAAAAACAATAAGATGATTTGCCTCTTCCTTGAGAGTACTACAGCATACATACTGTCCTCTGTTCTGCAAAAAATCCTTGTGTTCTCTGCTACCAAGCTCTGTCATCTTCTTGCACATCACTGCACACATATTAAGTCCTTCTTGACATGGCCAAATGTATATACACAAAAAAAAACTACATCACCAAATCAAACATGAAAATGTATTGGAATTTACTGCTAAGACATATATTTTTTACATATTGTGGATCCTTATATTCACTTATAAAGTCTACATGTAAATATATTGTCTTGTCAGACTCTGCACGTTTTGGTGATGTATTTCTTTAATTTTATATTATGTAATTTTAAGATCAAGGGTCGGTATATTGAGGTGAATCACACATGTACAAGTGTGCTGGTCAAACCTGCACACACAATTCACCTTGTGATTCACCCTCTAGAATCACAAGGTGAATTGCACAGAGAATTACAAGGTTTGACCACACCTATTGTAAGGATTTGACTTGTTGATACCAAAAGGCAAAACTGCTTACTGCCTGAAACATTTGAATCT